TGAAATGTGTCTTTGTCAGGCTTGTGAAAAGGTGAAAATGTGAGTGGAAAAGTTAAATAAATGTTCATAAGGAAATCTAAATATAAGTATGAATAGAAATCTTCATGCATATTAAACCATAAGTATAGTACAAAAAAAGGTTCAAAGCTGAAAACCATCATGTTTCCAAAACATACTGTACATGTGCTTTGAATTTATATGTGGGTTTTTATATGACATTTAGGAAATGCGTCACGCAGATATAGGGTTTCAGTGTACCCCATTGCTATGTTATTGTAGATATTTAGGGTACATTGTATTGCTTCATTCTTTGCAAGTTAATATGTCAAGCAAACATAAATGTATTGTGTGTTTGCTGGCTAATCTGATTTTGGAAAGCTTTAAAAAAAACAACAACAGAGATGCACCAGAGAAAGCCCATTGGCAGAGATTGACAGTAACATCCAGTGACAAGCCAGTTGATGGTTCAGGAACAAATCTACAGCAAAAAGATATGAAGGAGTGCGACGATAAGATAAAGATCCTAATTTTCTGTCAGCATAATATTCGATACAGTGACATCTAAGAAACAAACCTTCCTCGATGACTGTCAACTGATCATTCAACTAATATTAACGCATCAAATGACGCATCTACATATCAACGTACTATTGAGTGGGACTCAGGCTGTGATGGCAGCTATCCAGCTCTTTCTTTCTAAGGAAATTATACCATCGTCTTGGCTGCCACAAATGGCTCATTAAACGAACACCTCTTAAACCCCTGGAGATGCTTAGAATTTGTCCTTTGTTATTAAGCTCTCATCTGTTTTGCCGCCTTCAATAGATGGCATTTGCCAAGCAGTTTGGATATTATTAATGCCAGATGGATGGCAAGATTATGATGATAAATATGATGGAGAATTGCTGCAGGAGGGGGTCACAAGGTGAAACATGAACATTTCCATAACCTGAGAAAATAACCCTAACCATGGATAGCATGGAGATACAGTTACTGGCTTAAAAGGGACATTGACCCTTTCAGAGAGAACATTTCAAAACAAAAGCTTGTATTTATTTATTTAATTTGATAGACCCTGACAGATAGGAAGTGCAGCGGAGATTAGGCATATGTCATGAACACAGTGTCCTCTGTTAATCTTCTGCAGATTACAGTATTTTGAGTTTCCCCCATGGAGAAGCACTGGGTGCAATCTTTCTGCATGGTTGATGAGGGAATATATGGTCACAGGTTTAAGACCGATTTTAATATTGTTCATTGCCTCTCACCCCAGGAATAACCTAATCCTGATGAGAAAGGGGCCTGGGCTAATTAAGGTTAATGATGATATTGTTACATTAATAACATTACCTCGGAAAGATGCATGCACAGAGTTGAAAAAAGGAAGGAAGAAAGGGAAGTGGAATAAAGGAAAATATATTTATATTCTGAGTACTGTACAAACAAATGTCCATGCACAACTTTGTGAGGTAGGCATTGAATATTTTTTGATTTACTGAGCAAAGAAACACAGCATCAGATTGACATCAAGCACATATTAAGGAGCTGTGGACCCCTGATTTATCCCATTCTAAGTTTCTCCTTTCAAGCACAAATGTATTTAGTAATATAAAGCTAAAACTACTTTTTAATTCCAGGGCCATGGACCTCGGTGGTCCCAGTTATTTTAATTTATAATAATCCAAGATGGTTCATACAATATCATCAACCAAATATGCAATCAATTCAATTAATTAGAGTGCCACATGGTGAACATGGAGTCTTCAGGCCCCCTTCGTGTCTGGAGCAGTTGCCTGCTTTTCCCTGTTGGTAATCCAGAAGAAATCATTGACTGAGTCACTGTAGAACAAACTGTAGTTTGACAAGGAAACGTACATCAAAGATCAAGTTATTAGATTTGTTTCCACAGCTTTTAACTACATCTCATGTTCTTCCCAATGCACATGGAGTGTGTCCACTGAGGAAGACCATGAGGACAAAAGGTGGAAAGTGGTTCTTGAGTGGGCATCCACAGGAGTTATAGTTGACAACAACATTGATAGACACTTTTACCTGCTTACAACTACATTATAGTGCTATTAAACATTTATCACATGTTCACATACTGCTTATGCTTGCTAAATAGGGATACTATTAATATTGAAGTGCACATTGGGTGAACATAAGGCCGCACAGCTGCACATGTAATAAGTGCAAGCGAATAAAAAATGTATTTGTGTCATATCATATGACACTGTCAACAACATGAGATTCCACATGAAGATAAATTGCACTTTTACAGTTGCTTTGTGCCAAATCTGGACTCTCAGTGTGGCAGCAAAATATGGCATTGAATGACTCAGCTGCTGAAACATAACTTTCTCCGTTTGATAACGCATATGTCCACAACAGCCCTCCGTCACTGCGTGTCAACGGTGAAAGCTTGCACAAAGCAGCTCTTTTTTAGTGTGTCTTTGTTGGCTGCTCCGTGTGTGCCGTGCTACAAACAGCAGAGCCTGTGAGGCGATTACTGAATTACGCAATTATACTGCTATCATAGCTGCGGCCCTGCACGGTTTAATAGATGGAATGTTTCACTGTTTTCCACAGTTAATTGCTCCTTCACTACTGAGACCACACATGCATAAAACTGTACTGTATCCTCATCTGTTAGAGTAAAATAGAGCTAGATTAAGCATTGTTTTTGCACAATGCTATTTTAACATTGTATCATCAATCTCTGCAAAATTAATGAAGCGCTTGTTTCAGGGTTGTGTTTTATATTCAAACTGTCTGATCTTTAACAACTCAAAAAAACATTTACTATTGTTTTATTGACTTGATACTTCACAACTGTGTATGTTTGTATTTCACATGCTCTATATCTGTGATTGCCGTTGACAGTACTTTTTATGCTGTAAGTGGTGGAAGAAATATTCAGAGCCTTTACTTTAATAAAAGTATCAATACAACAATGTTATGATACAGCATTACAAGTAAAAGTCCGGAATTTAAATTCCTACTTAAGCAAAAGTACATTAACATTGTCTGCAAAATATCAAAAAGTAAAAGTACTGGTTCTGCAGTGAGTTGACCCCTGTGACTGTCATATTATCATATTGAGCTAAAATGAAACTAACACTTTTCAGAAATTATTAGATATTATAGAGATCATTTTAAAATAAATTAATTTTCATTGTGATCAACAACTCACATGTGTTGTATCAGTGTCAGGTGTGGTTTTGTATTCCTTTTTACTGATAACACATTTCAGTACTAACATTTTTTATTTTTTTGTTTTATTCTCATTTAAATTATCACAGATGTAGCGCTCTGTTTCCTAAGTACGCGCCTCATGGAAAGAGTGCAGATAAAAGAAACACCGCACCCATACCAGTCATTTTCTGTTAAAATGTTCTGTTGAAATATAGCATACACATTTCTTTAATAAATGCTGTAACATACACAGTGTGACCCGATTAGCGAGAATAAATTAGGAAAATAAATGCCTGTTATTACTGCAGGGGGACCAATGAAACATCTGTTACTTTTGTCAGACAGACAATGAATCCTGACACCTAAAGGTGACTTGCTGAAATACTGAAAACTCTATCATGGCAAATTCAGCATGTATTAAAGTATTAAATAATCTGTCAAATGATCATGACTATGACATGGAACAATAAACACAACTTGTCATTCAAATGGGAATTTACTTTCCAGGTAAAACACTGCGACAGTTTGACATACCCACACAGATTCTGTTCAGTGTTCCATGCTGTTTTTGCTGACGTAGGCTCGGAGAGAACCGCCGCGTTACTTCCCTATAGCTTGTTTTACCAACTGCATATAAGGTACTTCAATTTAACAGTTAACTTTCACATAGAGAAAACACTGTGAAAAGCTTAAAGTTCTAAGACAAAAACACGGACAACAACCAGATTAGACAAAACCGTAGTTGTGACCTGTCAATCACAAGATAGCCACGCCCTAAAGCATACCCTTCTTTATCATCTATTTTACTCTAAACAGGATCATGATTTTCTAAATGAACATCATGCTGTTTTGAAGAAGACTAGAACTAGCGACTGAGACCAAAATCTCATGTTTACAATGTTTACTAAATCAAGTGAGAAGTAGGGTCTTTTTCTCCAATGTGACTCCTTTTTGCAACCAGATGAGTCGCCCCCTGCTGGCTGTTAGAAAGAATAAGGCACTTCTTGCATTGGCTTCACTTTGCAGACTTGGAGGTTGCGGCCTAGTCTGAACCCTAAACAAGTCCTTTGAAGGTCTGTCCCAAAGTGAGGATTGGCCAAAATGTCCTCACTTTCCAAAATGTCCTCACTTTGAAGGTCTAAAACTGTGATTGATCCTCACAAAGATAGCTGTACAAGTACACACACACACTTGCACACATTTGTGTGATTACCCACACAGGTGCATGAAAAAACTCATTTGTCTGTGAGTACACATTTATTCATGAATGAACAACAATAAATGATTATTACCCATAAAGAGCGAGGTCAGTGGCACCTCAGTAATGATAAGGAAGTAAGGCCAATGTAAACTAAGAGGTCACTAAAATATTGTATGTAAATATGAGAAATGTAGATTCTTTACTGCCATGAGACTGTTCACACACTTCAACACTGTATGCCAAACAATCCACTGTTTCATTTAAAAACTTGAAAAATGTGTTACTCTTAGAGCCTTAATGTAAATTACAGTAAAGCAGCAGTTGTTGCCTGAGATAATCTTCTGCATTATGTCTCGGTAATCCAATCCTACTAGATGCAACTTTTGAGAGACTGCAGGGGGAAAAAGTGGTTTGGCAAATGCCCTGCGATCTGTTGAATGTGGAGTTTGTTTGAGGGGTGAGAAAATATGTCATTTCGGAGTCGTGGTTTATTCCAACGTAAGAGAGTGCGAACCAATGAGAGGCTGTTACGCTCCACCCTACCTGCCTCATTTCCGCCCCCCCTTTTCCATCCACATACTCACTACTGAACGCGACCTGCCGCTTGCCACATCTGGAGACGCTTCCCGACACGAGAAACTTCAACTTTTGCGTTTATTCTGCGCAGAAACAATTAGGCGATTGCGAACTGTCAATCCGTCAGGGTGAATTTTGCTTTTCTCGTGATAGTAAGTAGACATTCTTTCAGCCAAGTTGGCGTTTCTCTCTTACTCTGAGCGTTTTTTCCTCTTTTTTTTTTACATCACCATTGGTAAACAGAGCCCGTTTGGGAGTTTCATACATTCAGTTTGCTGTGTAACTGCCACGCTAGATCGTGTTATAGTTGAACGCGGTTTCTGGAAATAGCATGACACATTTCAATGTTGTGTTTTCATGAGTAAAAAACAAGGAAAGGGATGCGCAGCGCAGCGGTGCGTTAAATTAGTTGATTTAACGCAAATTAAGCCAACAAATCTATGAAAAGTTTGTAGCCTAATTTGCTCTGTCACAAGATTATTTTGTTGTATTATTAAATGCTAGAATTAAACCCTGCCGTACGATAGTACATGAGTGCGTTGATGCTGACATGAGTCAGGCGGGATCAAAGTGTGAAATTCAACAGCGCCTGATGATGGAGTGACACATTTCGGGCTTATTTGTGTCCAACGCTGATCTAACATTTTGGAAGAGAGAACTGGAATAAGCCATAAAGCGCACGGCTCCATACTGAAGTGTTTAAGTTAGTCTGAGGGGAAATTTAAAAGACCTAAAAATACAGCGTTGGTTTCTTCCCTACAAAGACCCATTTGAACTTCCCACCGCAGAGCGAGAGCGACATAAATAGTTCTGACATGTGGATGTAATTTCAGAAGAGGAAAAAAGACAGATGCAGAGAAATAAAGAGAGCGGGTTGAGCCTGAGCATATAGATTATAGGAAATTAAATCGAGGGCAGAGCGAGGCGATTACAGAGTTATGATTTCACAAGCCGCCACAAACACAGAGCAGCCAGATGGAGTGAAAAAACACAATTTGCTCCACTTTGAAGAGAGTTAAATAGAATAAACAATTTCACCAGTGTCTGTTTGAGCCCCGCAAGGACCCTTGGAGGCAGAGTTGCCTCAGGTCAATTATGGGATCCGCTCTGCTCCTCCACAATCTGGACTTTCTTCTCATCTCACTACTGAGTGGCTTATTTCTGGTAAGTCTTTTTTTTTTTTCATCCATGTAATAACCGACATGTTAATTTAATGTTGCATTTGTGAACTGTGAACCAGTGGAGCCTTCTCTGTGCACACATCACTGACAGCTTGTCCGAGAGCAGCTGTTATTGCAACTGTTCGTAAGTGTTTCACATAAGGAGATGTTGGGGATAATTTGTAATCAGACAAAACGTGCATGTTGTCATATCTACAAAATTCACTCTCAGCTTTTACATTTCTATAACATCTTTGCATCTCTTGGAAAAGATTACGGTAATGTGTTTGAGTTTAGTAAAGGGAAGGTGTTGACCTCCATAATAAAAGACTGACAGAAATCAAAAGCTCTGAACTCGCATCACCCTCACACCTTCAATATCTCTGTGCTGCACATCACTCTTGTGGCATTAAAGCCAGTAAATGCAGGCTTAATTGTGTGCGAGCTTTAATTTTTCGACAAGACACTCGTATTGACATATTGGACTGGGTGAACAGGGTTGTGCTCAAGCTGCTGTGATTGGTGATTACACTCTTGTTCCATTAAATGCATCTTCTCGCAGTTACAACAACACAGTGTTTGTGTAAAGCAGCTCCCGGTAACCTAGTCCCTGTAATAGGCAAGGCATTTACTACGGGTTTCAAGCTCTCACCTGACTGAACACAAGCAATTCTTGCAGTCAGAATGTAAATATTTCATTCAGAACTCATAGCGCCTGAACAATTTCACATCACTTTTGCCCGCCATTGTGATTTATAATTGCGCTCTCAAATATTGCCATAGCTGTATCCAGAGGGACTGCTGCCCACACACACATACACACACACACACACACACACACACACACACACACACACACACACACACACTGTACAGGCAGAGCAGCGCACCAAGTTGGTTCTGTGTGTTTTGGCTGAGGCTGTTGTGCATTCAACAGGCAGTTCGCCCAGGCTCTGAGGTACAGTGCATTTTCCCAGTGATGTGGTCCATCACTGTACCGCAGTGGACCTCGAGGCTCATTGGTTCAGATGGCAGAGGAAAACAATTATAACATTGCTGTGTATTTATAGCTAATTCAACATTCAGTCGTTAAAAGGTTCTGTCTGTGCATGGTGTTTACCCGTTTTTTAACTTTGGTGTTTGCTTAGTCTTCTTCTCCACAAAAAAGTAAATTTTTTTCCAAACTGTGACCAAATTGAAAGATTTCACTGAAAGCCAAAGCTGACAGTGGAAAGTGTGCGTCTCTGTTTAAAGCAATAATACATTTTAAATTGAGTTGTCAAACTACAGGACTCTGACATTTTCCAGAGACTCTGCATAGAAATGATGATATCAAGGTATCGTAGCTACAACTATTTAGGGATGCACGATCCAACTTTTTCAGTCCCGATAACTGGGCTTTGGGTACCGATCTGATACAAGTGTTAAATGAATAAGATGTCTCATTGTGTGGACGTGGTCTTATGTGTAAAGCAACATCAGGCTTGAGTAAAACATTGCTTACTTAACGTTATAAAACAACATGTAATAAATAAATACATATATAAATGTACTGAATAGATATTTATTATTAAAACAATAAAGTGTGCACCAGGTAAAACAATTGTAACCCTTTTTAATGCAGCAACAATTTGGTCAAAAGTTAAACAGGGATTAAAAATTCAGTATATAATGTAGAAAGCATATGAACATAAAATTCAATTTAATAGAATCCATATCTGATATCTGTATCATTGCATCCCTGCAAATATTCACCAACAAGTCGAGGTGGTTGGATCCATACGTGGTATCCAACATTTTTTATCTGAACGATACACGAACAAATAGAGAATCTCTCCATTGTGCTGCAGTGACAGAGACAAAGCCCTACCTCACAGAGCCTTCGCTCAGTGTGAATGGCTGCCTCACTTACTCAGTTATTACATTTATTAAGCGGAAGCACTGCTTCCAGGAACCTTTGAGAGCGTTTAATTTCTCCCTCATGACTGTGTTTTCCTCCGTGATGACTTGCATGTGTCTGGATTCTCACTGGATGGACTAGAGCTGTATCTGTGTCTGTCTAATATCCAAGCATTATGTCTGCAGTGGGAAACCTGTTATGTTTTGTAGTGCACGAGTCAGTTTAGTCTATTTTACTAGACGTGGAAAACATTTGTTGTTGAGGACTTTATCCAGAACTTTTTTTTTGCAGCGAAACAGCGGCTTCTCAGTGTGGTTGAAATGTCTCGATTAAGTAGTTTAATCTCTGTTGTGTTGGACCTGAATACTTAAAACCACAAGATGACGATTGTAGTCTACAGTTTCATCAAAATGTAACATAAAATAATTTTTTTATAGTAACTCACTTCTACCTCAAGTTCATCATTAAAAGCCTTTTCAGTTGATGGTCTCAAAAAAACACATACCGCCCCTTGGAATAAAGTTTCAGAGCAGTGCTATCCATCTCAAATTACCCTCGATGGAATTTCATAACTGAGATTAGACTGCGGGGTAATCTCATCTCTGTCTCTGGTAATTAGGGGCAGCAGATTACTTCTCACTAATTCATTTGAACTGCTGGGGCATTTGTGAAACAGGCTTTAATATTAAAATTATTTTTTGCATGTCCTGTTAACTGATCTCTAGTATGACGTATTATATATTTTTTCCCGCTTTTATCCAAGTTTATATGAGTGTATCTGAAGGAGCATGAAATGAAGCATCTCCTGATTCTCTTTGAATTAGACTTACTCTGCAGCAGCATACAGACTTATTTGCCATAAACATTCCCTAATAAGAGGTGATGCAGTTGACTCTACTCTGGAAGGCTGAGTGATAATTCTATTCTTTATTTTCTCTCTATGTAAACATATTGCGTCAAAATGCTCATATTAATTTAACACATTTCAGAGGCTCAAATACCTCAAAGATTTGTTTTTATTATAAGATTTTAAACAGGACAAGTGAATCATTCTTAGTTCCAATCCAGTTTTCCTACGGCTCTTTTAATCTCATACAGGGTTTTAAAAGGAAATGCTTAGTGCTTAGACTTTTTCGATCGCAAAAGCCTGTCTGACTCCAGCTAATTGACCTTTGATGTTGTCATTCATTTAGTCAGGTACTTCAAACTGTTTGGTTGTGGCCTTGATTTTGACTCCCCCTTTGATCAGACCCCATTAGGACACAGACGGACCACAAAGCCCTGCCAGGATCAATTGGCTCACCTGAATGTGTGTTTCTGTCAACTGGGTATCATTTCTTCCCCTCCACGAGATAGACCTCCACAATTGGTGTTATCCGCATTCTAAGGGTTTACTCTTTGATTATGATTATTTTTTGTTCACATTGATGCATGGCCAGGCTTTTTATGGTGACCTTTACTGTTCCTAAGTGGGAGAAGAAGCAGTAGGAGGTGCGTCAGCAGTGGTTTGTTGTCAAAGTGCCAGAATTACCAGGATGTGTTGTGTGCCTTTAAACCCCTTCAAAAGCACAAGATACAAATCACCATTTTTGTGTTATTTTCTTTTCTCTTCTCAATGAACAGATCAGGCTTCAACTAAGGCTTCTTTTAACGAAATCCATTTGTGCTGGGCTTTTATGCTTGGCTTAACCAATCTCCGTTGATCTGTGAGCATCAGAAAAGCTTTTACCGTATTCACCTTCGTCCCTTTTGCAAGTTGCCTGTTAATTTACCAATCAGAGCCCACTGCTCACGTAAACAATGAAACAAGTCTTTAACACAGTATATTTTCTTACTTTATCCTGTTAGTTCAAGTAGAGCAGCTGAGGATCCATGGAGGGTAATGCTAATTGTTGATTAGCTTGAGCAAATTTGAGCCCTCGCATGGCAGAAAGCTGCAGTTTAGGCCAAGAAAGGATGGGCCATCTGCACATCTCCACAGCAGTAAACAAACAAACAAACAAACAGACAGATGGGAAAAATAGTCATGGCAATCAATCTAGCATGTGGGCTCACAATCAGCATCAAGAATGCATTTTAAAGCCATCAATGCCATATTTTGGAAAGATGAATGTATCCGTGTCCAAAGGGGATCAAGTAAATAAATCATTATGAACTGAATTCTTTTGTGACTTTCAGGTACCTTTGGTATTTGTACAGTGACTATATATTGTGATCAGCTTTGCCTCATTGCTAGTACTGTAATTCTTGCCTATTGCTTAACATTACTTTGGTTTGATAGCTGTGACACTGGTCGGCGTCACAGACAAAACAGGCAGTGGGCTTGAAACTAGCCCCAAGATAGTTGTGACATTTGACTCTGATACAAATCTTTCAGGTCCCACCTGAGGGACAGGATGAAGCATTTTTTGATTCTTTCTTTAAATAGGCATAGAGGTAATGAACTCTCACTGTCTTTCCAAAGTGCAGCATTCTAATACTGATGCTGATAATATCTGGTTGTTTGATGCATTGGTGAGTTTATTGTGTACGCTTCAATGCCTGAGCTCACTCAAAATGTCTCATAGTTATTACTCTGGCGAAATGAAGGTTAAATAGAATAAAAGTTGGTGGATCTCTCATATTTATATCATCATATTAGACTGTTTTAGACAGAATTAAAAGTATGCTCACACCTCCCTGATTTACAAAAAACAGAGCCCAAAGTGCTACGAACCACCAGTTGAATGATGAAGCTACTACTTTTAGCCGCTGGCCGTACAGCGATATGATATAATACAGCTAGCGAGTCGGACTTGGCAATAATTCCATATAACTGTTTATCGATCTAGCCGATAACATTCTGCAAATTTCTGTTGTCTTGACCAAGAGTTTTCAAAGTGTATGAGCAGTGAGACTGAACCAATAAAAACAGTGACATCTTCCATTCCAGCTGCTTGTGCTAATCCCAATTTGGACAGTGGGTTCACGTTATTGCGCCGCTAAACTGGATGAGACTATTGTATGATGTAACTCCTACCAGTTGTCATCTTTTGGGCCCTGTTGTTACTGTGTGAAATGTTTGAAAAAAAAGACCAGCTGATTGTTATATAGTGGCAATCAGA